TCTTTAAAAGTGTCAATTCCCACAGGGTAATAGTCGTGTATATCATGCGTTAAATGCGCTTCCAAGACTTTGTTACACTCAGCATTAAGTGCGTCAATAAATAAAATTTTATACACAACGTCTGATGGTATGTCAAAACCCATAGATATATGTATCGTGTTGAACTTTTTGAGTTTAAATAACAACAATTTTAATATAACAAGTTTTATTTTTATGATAAGGTTATACTATATGGTAAATAATATAGTTTATGTACTTTATATTAAAATTAAAAAACGAACTAATAAATTACTTTCTTATTTGTATTTAATTATGTTTACTATTATTAATGATAATAATATTATTTATTATAATTATTTATATAAAAATGCAGTTCTAGTCAAATTTGTCTCATTTCATATTTCAGTTTTAATTTGTGTTTGTTTTACAAATAAAGCGTGTATTAAATGATTGGTAAACTACCGTGTTCATTTTAATTGTTTGTAGTCATAGGGAAAAATCTGAATTGTTTAATTAAAGTCATTTTAAAAACTTGCAACTTTGACGTGTCAGTGCAACTTTGTTTATAGTATAAATATAATAAAAAATTATATGTTTTTAGAAACAAAACAAGAAAACACAAACAAATTTCTTTAAAACTATTACTCTAATTAAAATACTATAACTAAACTACAACTAAAGTTGCACATTTTTTCTCAATTACAGTAAAAAGTGTTTATTTGTGGGTTTTTAAACAGAGAAAAAATATATATTTGTGGGTTTATCATGGAATTGTGAAGTAAATTCTATTCACCATTTTTTCCATTAAAAATCAGTGTTATAGAAAATATAGTAGTTTTTTTTAATTATAAAAAACTATATTATTTATCTAAGTGTACCTAAATTCAAGGTTCGAGAGCAAAATAATTATTTGTGGGTTTTGCATTTGATTGGTCCATTGACCCACAAATAGACGTAACCCACAAATATAAAAACCCACAAAAAGACACTTTTTACTGTAGTTTTTTGGGTTGCACCATTCAACTGTGTCGTGTTTATCGAAATTTTGCAGCGAAAAAGTCTTTGAATCACACGAATTGGCTTGTCTCATTATTTTCTTATTATAAAGAGATGTTTAACATTTGCTCTATCCACAGTCGATATACAACACTATTTTATTCGTTGTATGACAATTGGAATTGTAATGTTTTTTATTAGAACAAGCAGTTGAACTTATCATTTAAATATCGAGTTATATTTTATGTTGATTTATAACCTAATTCTACTTTTTGTTGTTGTTTTTGTTATTGTCGATAAATAGAGTTTCCCCTTTGTTGTGAGTAAAAAACAAAGAAAAAATAAAGTTGCACACTTGTTCAAAATGACTTTACAGTAAAATTTCCCAAGAGCGGGAGGGCGTTGGAATTTTGTTCTCTTAAGAGCGGGCATTTTCGCCTATCAAACCTTAATTACCTCTTAATAGAAAACTCTATTTTTAGTTTCAGTTTAAAAAATGCCCGCTCTTGGGAGGTTTTACTGTAATCAAAATTTAAATAAAATAAAATAAAAACAATAAATTTATTTATTGTTAAAAATTTTTATTAAATATGTTAAAAATAATTATTATAAAAATGATAGTTTAATATTTGGATTATTAGTATATTTAATATTTTCTTGTTTATTTTTTATACCCATATTAGTTATAGTTGTAATAATGTTTAACTGAACTAAATATAATTTAAGTAATAATATAAACTAAAATTTATAATTTTAGTTTTCGAAGAATTATTCGAATTGAATAATGATTTTTTCAGAAATAAACTGTTATATTATCTTCTTTTATAAATATTTTGTAGAACAATAATTTGGCTTTATTCTGATATAAAAAACAAGCATTGAGCAAAACGGTGAAACCCGTGAAACATTGAGAATAGTTTTTTATAATAATATTTTGAAAATATGCAATTTTATCGTCAGAAAGTCGCTAAGACTGATTGTATTTATTATATTTTTTGTAACATATTATAGTTTAATTTTTCTTGGTTTGAAACATGAAATTATTATTGTCATATAATTCGAAACCCCTAAATATAGATAAAAAATATTTTTATCGAACAAAATGAAACAAACAAAGTCGATCTTTTACATTATAAACTTAAAATAATAATAAAATTAATTATAAAATATAAATATTGTTTTTTAAAAATGTTTTGAATATAAAAATTTTTTGAGCTACTTTTAGAATTACTTTTGAATTTTCCATTTTTTGTTTCCATTGTAATTATTTAAAATGTTTTACAATTTCTTCATTTTTAAGATGGTTATGATATTAGTATTATAATAACCAATTTAATTATTAAATTTATATACGTTAGTGTTTTGTATTATTGTAAAAACCCACCAAACCTATTTTCGACATCATTACCTACCAATAATTCACCACTTTTATAAAAATACCGTTTAATAATTAAAAATGAATCAACAAAAGAAAAAAATGATAAGATTTTTAAAATGGGGTATAGTATATAAATTAATAAAACAAGATTAATTTTTTAAAACAAAAAACTTGAATTAATTTTTTATATGTTGATCACTTTTCTGTTGTTGATATTTGTGGTTACAAAAGGGATGAAATGGTGTAGATATGGTAATGTAATTCGCTGTGTTATAGAAGAAGAAAACAATTATACATCTTGCAATAATTTAGCAACAAACAATAGCATAACATATGATAAATTCGACACATCGATCACAACATTTCATTGCGAAATTAGAACCAATTTGGTTCTTGAAAATCCTCCCCGAAATTTAACTTCGATGCTATTTTCACCATCAAACTCGACTTTTTTATTTACACTCATCGCCCCAACGCAAACACAAACAAAAGTAGTTTTAACAACATCTACAGTAAATTGTGACGTCACCTGTTCTACGTGTAATGGGCCGACTTCATCCGATTGTTTGACGTGTTATAAATACGGAAAGATGACTCAAACTCCTCCAAACAGATGTGAATATTGTCTTCATTGTGACAACGGCTGTACCCAATACAGTGGAGGAGGGTTTTATTGTCGTTTATGCGACAAAGGGTATCATTTAAGTGTTGATGGTGTTTGTGAATTACATGTAAATAGAGGAGATACAAACAATCAAACAATGAAGGGTGTGATATGTCCTGAAGGTCAATATGTAGACGTTAACAATGTCTGTCAAGATTGTTATTACGACTGTAAAACGTGTAATTCGAGTACTAAGTGCCTCAAATGCAAAGAGTCCAATAAAGCATTAATTAATGGAATCTGTTATTATTGTCCCAGTGCATGCGCAACGTGTTATGGAAGAAACAATGGAGAATGTACTTCTTGTACAAGTGGTTATTATTTAAAGGACGATTACTGTAAAGAATGTACATCAAATTGCTCATATGGATGCAATAAAGTGGGTAATGTATGTACTGAATGTTTAACAGGATCATTTGTCAATGAAACTGGGTCATGCATTTCATGTACTGAGATATCAAATTGTGATGCAGAAGGATGTCAAAATGGACAAACAAAATACTGTGAGAATTGTATCAATGGGTTTGAATCTGTTAAAGGTGTCTGTGTCTGTCCAAATGAAACGTTTCAATACTCACAAAATAAGTGTAAATGGTGCACTTATGGATGCAACACATGTACTGGTGAAAATGCAAATCAATGCACTTCTTGTTTAAATAAATATTTTTTGGCTAACAATTCGTGCATTAAATGCAATAAAAATTGTGTTTCTGGATGTGATGATGGTGTCACAAAATGCAAGACATGCTCCATTGGATATTACGTTTTAAATGGTGTTTGTGTGTCATGCACAACAATTCAAAATTGTGATACTAAAGGATGTGACACTGGCGATACTCCATATTGCAATATTTGTGCCAATGGATTTGTGGCTACCAAAGGCATTTGTGTATGTCCAGAAGGGCATTATATAAACAGTCAAAATGTCTGTCGATTGTGTTACGAAGACGAAAACAACTGTAAAACTTGTGGAATACAGTCAAATAACACAATGAAGTGTACACAGTGTTATTCGCCTTTTGTTTTAACATCTTCTGGTCATTGTCAAAACTGTCAAAGTTATGAATTTTTTAATAAAACGACTTTAAAGTGTGCTTTTAATGATGAAAATTGTAAATCTAACATTAAAGAGGATGTTTGTATAGGTTGTAGTGATATGGCATTTTTAAGTGAAAATAAGTGTTTAACTCCAAGTGGAGAGTGTTCTTTGGTTTCTTTATCAAATTGTGAAATGTGCAACAACGGAGTGACAGTTGGTACGCTGTGTTCAAAAACAGTTGAGAGTTGTAAATATTACAAAGAAACAAAAGACAACATCAAGTGTTTGCAATGTAACGACAGCGCTTTTTTCGATATAAAAACTACAAAATGTAATATATTAGTTAACAATGTGACATATAGAAATAATCACATGTATAAATGTGGTGTTAATGAATATAAAAATGAAGAAGACAGTTGTCTAAGTTGCGGAGAATTTAATTCGAAAAAGTGTTATCATATGAGTAATAAAACAATTCAAATCTTATCATGTCAAGAAGGGTATATTTATGACTATAACAACAATATATGTGAAGCACCAGTAAATTGTAAATTGAAAGCGGGAAATGACTGTTTGAGTTGTACTGAATTTAATATGAATATGACAACCAATAAATGTCATTTATGCGAATTAGTTGACCACTGTATTATATATAAAAATGATTGTACTTGTTATAATTGTTCGAGTGGATATCTTCTTGACAAAAATCAATGTATTTCAATAGAGAAATTACACTGTGAAATATCAAATGAGTTTAATTGTGTGAAATGTGTCAATGGATATATAAGAAACACTTTAAATGATATAAATAATTTAAATGAAGAAAATACTGCATATTGCCAACAACAAAAAAATAATATTAAATATTCTAAGTACGACTTAAAAGGAGAAATTAACATTTTTGAATGTATTAAAAATTATTTCTTATTTAACCAGACATGTGAAGAACAATTAGCACAAAATTCAGTGTTAAAAACAAATGAAAATTTAGAGTGTAGAATTCAATCAAGTAAAGGATGTATATCATGTCAAGAAGGATATTTTAACGACCACAACTCCTGTTTTAAATGCGAAAATAACTGTCAAACTTGTTCGAACAAAACACACTGTTTGACATGTGATCGATCAAATAATATGCTTTTGACTTCAGAACATACATGTGAGGAATCTACTTTAAGTCTGAAGTGTTTACAGCCGATGGCAGGTAACGTTGGATGTGCCATATGTCGTGATGGCTATTATTATAAAGACAAAGATTGTATCAAATGTGACAAGTCTTGTTCCACCTGTAAAAACGGCATTTCTTGTTTAAAGTGTTCACTCAATTATTTCTATGATATAGAAGAGAATTTATTATGTAATAGTTATGATTCTCTAATACAATGCAAAGAAAAAACACAAGAGGGGTGTGTTCAATGCAACGAGGGGTATTATATAAAGACGCCTTATTGTGAAAAGTGTCCTCAAAACTGCACTTCTTGTGTGTCGTCTACTCAATGTGTGACTTGTATAGAAAATTATGTGATGATCAATAATAAATGTTTATATCATTCAACTATAGAATTCTGTATTAAATCTAAAAATAACATTTGCACGAAATGTAATCAGAACCATCGACCCAGTGATGATGGAATGATGTGTCTTGTTGATTATTTCGTTATTATTGGAGTTCCGATTATAGTAACAACAATAGTTATTTTTATTATAATTATAGTAATTGTTGTACTGATCTACTTCCTTCAAAAAAGACGCAAAGAAATAGAAAAGAGAGATGTTTGCGTATTTAAAATGAATAAATCGAATTTAATTTTCCATTCAATAACAAAGGAATTGTGTTCGAATAAAAAGGTGATGGTCTTTGAAGGAAAAGATGAGAGCTGTGAAATTGAAGTGAACAAGGAGAGTCGTGAATTAATATGTTTGGGGAACACCACATCGCATCGCTTGAAAATTCAAATGAAAGTGAAAGAGGGAAACGATGTCTATGAAATTCGAAGTGAACCTCCTCTGATATCTTTAAAGCCGCACTTCGCCTGTGAATTTGAAATCTTTTTGAAACCAAATTTTTCAACAAAAATCGAAGATACCATTGCTTGTGTCACACTTGATCTTGTAGAAGGCACACAGAAAGTCGTTTACATCAATATCAAAGCAACAACTAAGATGTCCACTCGACTTGATTATCACGAATTAAGAGAAGAAAAGAAAATAGGTGAAGGTTCCTTTGGAATAGTTTACAAAGGCTTTTACAGGGAGAATTGTGTTGTGATAAAAATGATGAAAAATTCGACTCAGATAGAAAGGGGGGTGAGTGAATTTGAGAAGGAAATTGAAATGTTAGACAAATTTAGATGTGAGTATATCATCTATTTTTATGGAGCAGTGGTGATACCAAATAAGATGTGTATGGTCACTGAATTTGCACAATTTGGGTCGCTACAGAACTTTATATATTCGCATAAGAGTAATTCAAATACAATTAATATGAAAATGAAAATAAAGTTGATGTTAGATGCTTCAAAGGGAATTTTGTATTTACATGAAAATGGGATCTTACACAGAGACATTAAACCAGACAACATTCTCGTGTTTTCACTCGATACTATTGACAAAGTAAATGCAAAATTAACTGATTTTGGCAGTTCAAGAAATATTAATTTACTGATGACTAACATGACATTCACTAAGGGAATTGGAACTCCTGTGTATATGGCGCCCGAAGTCTTAAATCAAGAAAAATATAAAAAATCGGCTGATGTGTATTCATTTGGAGTGACTTTATATGAAGCTTTCAGTATGAGTGAGGCTTTTCCAATCGAACAATTCCCATTTCCTTGGAAAATTGCGGAGTTTGTAACTGCAGGAAACCGACTCAAAAAGACGGACATTATAACTACAAATGAATATGAACTAATTACACGATGTTGGGCACATAACCAAAATGATAGACCAACTATTAATGAAGTTGTTGACGACATCACTACGTTATTTGCGTCTTATTAATTATTAACAACAATTAAGTTATATCTAAGTTACCAACTATTTTTGAAACTTTTAAAAATCATTTAAAATTATTCATAACCTTTTAAAAGTTTTTTCAAAATTATTTTAAAACTTTTAAAAAACTTTTAAAAATCATTTTAAATAGCAACACACGTTTTCGAGAAATTCCCCGTCGTCATTTCCATAATTAGATCTCTGACTTTAATATCCTCCTTCGCAATAATGAGTTTCTTTTCTGCTGTTTCAATCCCTCCGTTCTTCAGATTTTTAAAGACAAAATTGATGAACTTCGCGTCACTACTTTTCGGCACATCAGTGATGAAGATTTTATTCAGTGACGCGTAGACAATATCGACAACCAAAATGTTTTTCTTTACAACAATAACTCTGTCATAACACACGTGGATCTTCGCAGAGCTTTTTTTAAGATTCTTTTTGAGTGTTTCATACACCAATTTCGTCTTCTTGAGGACTTCTCTATAAAAGCAGACCGCAAAGATTTGTGTGAGTAACGTTTCCCGGGCAAGCATGTCGGGTAAAATGTAGGTTCTTTCCTTCTTCTCGACTTTATTCTTCCTCTCTCTGTCCATCACTCCATTGAACCTAAATACGACGTGTGGGACCTTTTCATACGCATCAATCTGGCGCATTTCGTTGATTAATATTTCGTTCATGATATTATGTGACGTGGGCTCGATATTTAACAGGGACTCAAACGTCAAAAGGACGATCCGGTCTTGTGCTTTGAATTTCGGATTGACCTTCCACGCGTGGAATTCCCTCTTCACAAACCCTTTTGACCCTTCCGGGATCATCACCTCCGTCTCCCCAAACACTTTCGACAGACTTTGCCAGTCGTCGATAATATCAAACAACTTTTGCCATCCACTTAGAAGTCCATACGTCCCATAATTGAGGGCCATTCCCTCTAAAAGTTTCTTCACGTTCTTTTCTGGGTGAATGATATACCCATGGACAAAATTATCTCTCATGGAGCCTTGAATTTGAATCAAAGAACTCACAAGGTCGATTATAATGTTCTGTGGAACCTCCTCCGCACTAAACCACGAGAAGTCCAACACTAAATTGTACGGCAATTGGTCCGCCCCGTTCGTTAAGACTAACGTGATGATATCAATGAAGTCCAAATTATCGTGGCGCTGCGGATTCTTATTTAACTCCGAAAGGTAGTGGACAAAGTTGTTGATGATCACATAGAAGACTAACTGCTGGTTCGCCAAAGAGTCGCCTCTATAGAAGATTTTGTCTCTCTCCAAGCACCTGACAAGTTCCACGTCGCTCATCTCGCGTTCACTTTTCTTCGTCTTTTTCGCAACTAAAAATGGGGGAACTCCAATGATGTCAAAGACCTCTTCTATTGCGTTCTTCTGCGCAGTCGTCGCGCTGATGTTTCCATTTGAAAGTTGCGCATTTAAGAAGTACAGTATCTGGTGGAACGAAAACAATTTAGAGATCTTAATATGCTCAACGTTGATATATTTCATTGACTCTTCAACACTCTCCGTCATCACTATCGTCTGCGTCGATATGAACATGTTACTCTCTTTAATAATCGGGTGATAATCTATCGAGAAACTCAACGTCTTCTCTAAGAACTTCTCCTTTGTGGAAGTCACTTGATTCGCTATGTTCTGCAACACTTTCGTCACTAATAATAAGTTCCGCCGACTCTTCGGCGTCACCTTCGCTTCAACTCCTAACAGCCCAAAGTTCTCCGGAGAGGCAATCGCTGGACAAAAAATACGAAGAAAGAGAAAACCTCCTACTATTTTCGTGGGAAGCTCGCGGTCGTCGGAAAAGTGCTTCTCACAACTCAACCAAAGACAATTGCAGATCGTCCGAATCTCTTTGGGAACATCAGTGCGAGCAGATACAATGGATTCTATTAACTCTTTGCAGATGTTCTTCAGTGCTACTAAATTACTCCCAAGCAGTTGACCCGGTTGTATTTTGCTTGATTTGAGTCATACATTTTCAATGAAAGTGAAGAATAAAATTGGAAGTCTATGTATTCACTGTATTAGACTTTCGATTGTGAATATTTTGAATATAACAGAATTATTTATTAGTGTCAAGTAAATTGTGTATGATACTATAAAAACATATAAAATTTGATATTATATCTAATAATTGTAAGTTACTCTTAATAGTAAATTAATAGTATTTATTAGTATTATTATACTATTAAATTTAATAATAAAATAATTAATATAATTTCTATTAATAGAACATCCAGTTTCTATTTTTCTATTATAATGATAAATTAATAGTTTGTTTATTAATTTATTTATTATTAAAAATTAACTTATTTTTACTATAAATATATTCGTATTTTTAACAGTCACTTGAGTGAAAGTAGATTATATAAAAGTGTGAATAGTTATATTCAAAATATCATAAAGTAAAATTTTACAAATTTGAATGAACAAACGTTTCGTCGATTTCATATGATTGTTGAGTTGTGACTATTTTTAATATTGTGTTTTTGAGTGTGTTATTTAAGAACTTTTTGGACGCGGATCGGGCAAAGGCCGTCAGAAGTCGAGTGCAAAGGTTGTTCTGTCGAAAGAGCTCTTCCTTCGAGTGTGCTTCTTCGAACTCCCTTCCAATGAGATATTTGATGAATGGGAGAATCCGATCGTTAAGTGAAAATAATTCGATGATAATCGCGATGTATTCGTCTAATGTGTAATTCGACAATTTGTCTCCGATGAATGCCGCAATACTGTATATTACCATTTCATTGTTCAAGAGCGTACAGACGAAATATTAACACCAAAATAGATCAAATTCAAAATATTCAAATCGTTCAGATGAATTAAAAAGTTCTGTGTAATTTATTCGAGAGAAATTTTTTGAATGAACAAAATGAATACTTTGAAATATTAATACAATAATAATTAATTAAACTATTCAAAATATAACTCGACTCATTTTATTAAAAAGCGAATTATTTTATAAGAAATAAATACAAAGCATTTATAAAGCAATAACTCCAATTAATAAAATAATTAAAAAGTCCACTTCTTCGATATTAAATACAAACAAATAATGAAAATAATGAAAAAAGGAATTAATAAGAATAAAAAGAATTAATTATTATTTTAATTGATAATGTAGTAAGAATAAATAACAAGAAAACAAATGATTAAAATTTGATATAATAACTCGTTGATATATAATTAATTACTTGGTGTGTTATATTAACAAAGTTACAAACTCTAAATGCTGAGATATCCGATTCACTACAGAGGAGTAATGCTGAAACACAAATTGGAAGGACTCGTCGTCCCAATAAAACGTCTTCCCACGCTGTTCCTCCGTGGGGTTCGGATCGACTACGCCACCAGAAGTCTCCGCTACCATTTTACTGAATGAAGACATCAAAGTTGATACAAATAAGAATTTTAAGTTCGGTTTTATGAATTTCTGGATTCCTTTGATTAACATTTTTAATAACAATTGTTTGGTTTTTTAAAAATCGAATTGTCTTGTTTGAAGTAACATTTCTAAATAGATTTTTGGGGTCGTTTTATTTAATACAGCGTCAAAAAAACAAATGGATTAATAAAGCATATGGGATATCTCTCTATTTTGGATAGACAAAATGTATTATACATTTATTATAAATATATTATAATGGTTAGTTTGTTTTCCAAAACAAGTTCTATACAGCCAATTTTGTAGATTAATTAGAGATTTTATATTTTTAATTTAATTTATTAATATAAACTATAACATTTATTAAATAATAGTTTATAATATAATATAATAATATTAATACTATTAATTATATTTTTATTGATTTGATAATGATAATAAAGACATTCAGATAAAAATAATTTTTTTAATAATAATGTTTTAAATTTAATTTTCCCAACTTAAATTATAAATATTAAAATTATTTCAAAATCAAATAACTGATAACACAACCAATAACATAAATAAGGTTAAGACCATTCGACTAATCATTTTCAAACATTAAAAGTAAAAAATACAGTTGATTTGGTAATAATTTTGAAAAAAAAATAACGAGAAAAAATTGCTAATTAACTCCAAAAAATATCAGTTTTTATTGAAATATATTAAGTTGATAAACTAGCTATTAAATACAACATAACTCTCTTTCCTCGACGCTCACGACATAACTTCTTGATTTCAGTTGTTTTATTAATTTAATTGTAATTGTTTGAGTTATTGTTTTATTTGATCGTTTAATGCATGTTTGTTATCAATACTATTTTTTTGTTTAAATCTTGTACCGAATTAATTGTTTTACTTGTTAATGTAAAAAAGCGTTTTTTCTATGTTTTTAACAATTTGGAGCTTTCTTTATTTGTTTTATATGAAAAATATTGAAAAAGGTTGATGTTTTATTTTTTTGTTGTGTGTAAAAAATTAAAAAGAGGAAAAAATGGTTTGAATTTTTTTGTAGATATATCCTTGTGATTTTAGTAAAATTAATATTCAAATGATAACAAAAATCACTAAGATATTTTAATTTTTGTTATTTCAAATCGTCTCCAAATGTTTCATAATGAAAAAAACAGAATGTAAAGACAATGAACATTTGTAATAAGCGTTTAGTCGCCACTTATACATTTCATCAACTCGATTTACACTAAATTAGTAGAGTGTTGTTAATAAATAAATGTACAAACTCTAACAATAAGAGAGAATGGTTTGGATATTTAATTTCTAATGAACCAACTTCGACAACCGTTGATAAAATTAAGTATCTTCGAAATTATATTTAACATTAAATATTTCTTTTAATATGAAATTGATTTAATATTACAAATAAAAATAATACAAACTAAACTGTTTTTCAAAAGTCGGTACTGTCATATTTTTAGAACTTCCTAAAGTCCCGTTTTTTATTTTTTATTTTTCCTAAAAAAATAAAAAAACAAAAAATCGAAAGTACCGACTTTATTTTGAAAAAATACCAATCCCGTTCAATTATTTTCGTACAAATTCGGGAAAATGTTGGAATATTAGCCAGCCTTTTCCAAAAAACCTGATCCCGTTATTTGATTTGACCTCAACTCGATACTTCGCAACATATATTCAGTACTGTTGGCATAAAAGCACAACAATAAACGTTTTAGTGAATTTGAATGGTGTTGTTTGTGTCGAGTTTTAACTGAATATTACTCTCGTTAAAATTTAATTGAAATTTAAAACAAACTGTGGTTTTCCATTCTGAATAAAAAATAATGAAATAAAGAGTACCAAAAACACCAAAAAATAAATTACACAAATGTTTGATAATTTTGACAGACCAAGTCAAAGAACAACACAAGAAAAGACGATAAAATGATATAACAATATTGTTTTGTTATAGAATATTTTAAAAATGATGTTCTCACTGAATGCTTAAAGAGAATGTCGACTTTATAAAACCCAACAAAGATAAGTCATCAAATCATTTTTATATTTTTATTATTCTTGTGACAATACTACTAAGCATACTAATCTTTGAACCTAGCTTTTGTTTTGTGAATATTTTATTAATTATTAAAATGTTTAATAATAAAAAAATTGACATTAAGTATATTTGCTTTTGTACTAAAATGCACTTTTTTGACAATTCACATGTTTTTTATAAACAAAAATCCTGTTATTTTAAATTTTATATGGAATTTTTTAATGCTTAAAAATTCTTCAAGTAAAAAATATTTTTTGAAGACTGTTTTTCTCTTTTTTTACTTGGAAAAAATAAGTGATATTTATTACAATGAAACGATTCCCAAAAATAATAAACAAAATAAATGCAAAAAATCGGGACACCTCAGTATTGACTTTTGAAAAACAGTTTATATTTGTTTTAACTTTTAGTTTTTTATGATATTATTATTTTGAAATTTTGGGGTTTATTTAATTAAATTGTTATTCAAAAAATATTTTTGTTTAAATAGTTCATCAAAATAGTATGTTGTGTTTCAAAGGAAAAAAATTATGGAAAAAAACTTACAATAAAGTTCAACGAGTTAAATATAATTTTAGGCAATCAAATTTATTATTTTTTGTTTTTTATGGAATTTTTGAGTAGTAAAATAACATCCGATCATATGAAATTAATAAGGAAAAACACGGTAAGGTGTCCAGACTGATTTAAATTAGTATTTAGATATTATTTCTAAACCAAAATTGTTTGTAATATTATTTCGAAATATAAGATTATTATAGTTTTGAATATTATACAAGTATTATAATATATATAATAATATAATTCATAAAAATTTAAAATATGAGGAAAAATAAAATTTTAAAATTGTTAAAATTTATAAAATATATAAAATTAATTTTAATTAAAAAAACATTAAATAATATTGAAAATAATCATAATAAAATTACAAAAGAGAATAAATAACAAAAAGATATAAAATAAGGAAATATATATTATAACGTTATGATAAATATATATAAAAAAAATAAATCAAATATCATTAACATTATGGTTTAAAAAAAAATAAGTAAATGTACATATCAAGGTGTTCATTATCAAAAGGTATGTCGAGGTGTTCAATATCAAGAAGTATGTCAAGTTGCTCAATATTAACATATCACTCAAGTTGCTCATTATTAACATATCACTCAAGTTGCTCATTATTAACAAGTCACTCAAATAAATTTTTTTAATTTAAATATGTTCGTTAAATTGTTAAATATCAATAATTATATACATCAGGATTAATTAACTAGTATA